ACATACATGCCTGAAGAGCTGTGTTATTATCAACTGTATTAAAAAATCTTCTGGTTGGTAAAAAAAAAAAAAGATCACCACAAGTGTTGTCACGATTGACATCAATCACTTGCGATGGAATTGATGGGATGGAATGTAAATGGCAGGCGTTTCTGTATACTGTTTATGTTCCAGGTAATACATTTCAAGAGATTACTTGGAGAAACTGATTACTCGACTATTTCCAAGATGATAATGTTGTTGATCAAGGAGGAATGTGAATATCCTTTCCTGAAGTTGAAATTGCTGAACCATTTGTTGTTGCATCATGGACATCATCTGCTCCACCTGCCGAAGTAGCATTTGTAGCTGATCCTATATTTCTCCGTTGGACTCTTGTTTGCCTTGCTGCGGTGGGGGCTGGGCTGCAACTGGTGCTGCAACTGATGCTAAAGCTGGTGCTAAAGCTGGTACAGCAGATGGTGCTAGGGTTGGTGCTTGCAGCTGGTGCTGTAGATGGTGCAGAAGATGGTGATAGGGCTGGTGATGCAGCTGGTGCTGAAACTGTTGCTGGTGCTCGAGTTGACGGAGCTTTAACTCCAGTTGGTGCTGGTACTGTGACCTGTGCCATGGCTTCCACGACAGGGGCCTTCTCTGTTGACCTCTGCAGGTGTTGTAATTCCCCCACATTCTGAACTTCCGTGTGGAAGAGCGCAGTACCGGCAACGCGGTGCGTCTCGCGTACAAGCACTTGCTCCGCGGCCCCACTTTGAACAATTAGATCAAAACGGGTCAGGGATTTGAAGACGGCACACCTAAAGGGTGCCATACCCTCAAACATTTTAATAGTTTGGGGATTACCTCCCCCGTTATTATGACTCTATGGGTCATCATTCCGTTAACCTTCATACATCTCGCATGAATGATACGCTCATTATATGCATTCGTTTTTCCTGTTTCGATTTCCCTTGGGACATCGAAGACAATGACGTTCGCACATCTTCCTTTCCCAAAAACCTTGGCTTTTTGAAGCACTTCACCACCTGCACCGGTAGTTGTAAAATAAGCAAGAATTTGTTCGTTCTTGCATCTGACACAAACGTTATTTCTCCCTATTTTCAGCTCGATTGATCCGTGAGATCTGAAGAGGAACTCGTGAAGAGTTCGAAACGTTACAATTCAATTTCATTTCTTACTGTGGCAGTTTTCCTTTCATATATATATATATGTGTGTGTGTGTGTGTGTGTGTGTGTGTGTGTGTGTGTGTGTGTGTGTGTGTGTGTGTGTGTGTGTGTGTGTGTGTATGTATGTATGTATGTATGTATGTATGTATGTATGTATGTATATATGTATAGATGTGTATATATGTGTGTATATATATATATATATATATATATATATATATATATATATATATATATATATATGTATATATATATATACATACATGTATACACACACCCAATTTGGATTTAGAAGTGTATGGGGAAATCGCTATCTAGAATACCTCTTCTCTTGGGTCAGATATTCTAAGGCCATTCCTTGAGGTTGCAGACTTGGTCTCCCCATCCTGGATGCCGACTGACCGTTAAGATCGCCCATGTTTAAGACATGTTGTGATAGCTGTTCAAATGGATCTTTCAAATCTTTAATGTCTACATTATTTGGGGGTAAGTATAAGGATGCTATGGTATAAGGTTTCTTCAGTTCAGTCCTTACTGCTCTCACTGGGAGTGCCGTTTGTAAAGGAAGAGGCTGGCAGGGAATATCCCGGTGCACCATTACTGCTACTCCTCCATTGGGTCCGTTATCAAAGGTCCCACAGTGATGATGACCTTGGTTCCCTGTCAGGGAGATCTGTCTCGTGTCCCTGGTCATGATTTCCTGCAAACACCTACAAACTGAATTATATAACTCTATCAAATATAGTAATTTCCCAATTTTGCACAGATACCCTGGCAATTCCATTGCAAAAGATATTCCACAACTTCTTTCCGAACTTGGCTTTTTGATATGTAGTCGTTCTACGTATTTGGGGGAGACATTGACGACCGAATATCTTTCTCCCTCTCTCTTGTTGGAGAAGTCGTCCTCCTTGAACTCAGGGGCTCTTGTCGCTCCTCCGTTTCTCCCGGGGTTGACCACAGGAAGTGAGGGAGACTTTTTCAGAATCTCCGTCTGTTTAGGTTTAGGCTCCTGCTCTTTCTTAGCCACCGACTTTAGGGTCTCCTTTTATATCCTTTTCAGCCTTATAGGCCACAGTGCTACGGGCCTTTATGGATGTAGCATGGCTTAGAGTCAGCTTAGCTTCGGGTTCTGAAGTATGGGATTTGTTCCTGGTCCCCTTTTCTGGCCTCTGGGGATTTGAAGAATATGGGCTCTGCTCCCTCGCGACTTTCAGAGGTCTCTGCTCCTTTTGTCCACGGGCAGTGGCAGAGTTGCAGCAATTCATCTAAGGATTTGGACTTCCTTAGTTTCTGTTGGATTCTCCCAAGCTTGTTGTTAGTTCTTGGGAGCTTTGTACTGTCTGTACAAAGCTCTTACCTGGGTTTCGTTGTATCTCTTGTAGATAATCACTACAGTGTGAACATTTCTTCATGGTACGACAGTGTTAATTTTCGTACACTAAGCTACATTTCTCACACATAGTGTTTGCGGGGCATTTTCATCCAATATGTCCAATTTTTTTGGCATTAGAAACTACGCCTCAGTGAAGGTCGGTATGGACGGGCCTCTAGTGCATACCTTTAGTGCATGATCATCTTTGTCAGAGGTGAGGAACAGCATAGGAGTTTCCTCACACTTCTCAGCAACCACCTTCTTTTGGATTCTTTTGACCTCTATGACCCCTTGGTCTGCCAGCTCAAGTTATAGCATCTCTGGGTATGATGTTTCTTCTGATGGAAGACAACACCTTTCACTGCATTCAGATACCGATTAGAAGGTACTACAATATAAACACTTTGATATCTTTCAGCTCTAAGATCTTCCATAACCGAATTTCTTTACTGTCTGAACAAGTAACGTGTTTTCTTTTGTCTGACGGATCTTCTACACCATACCACAAGGAAATCGATGTTCTGCACGGTGTTATTGCGGTTCCTACTCTCTTGGACTTGGTGTTTCTCGATCCCTGAGGCCCTTCCCAGGGAAATAGGGCTCAAAGGTCAGAATATCGTTGACCTTCTTTCGGTCCAGGTCTGGTGATCAGGAGGGAGAAAAGGATTACTTAATGGACGCAAGCCAGAGGATGTCATTCCTCCTATCCCAAACGGCTCAATGTTGCCTACTTGTTGGAAGAGAAGGGTATTATCAATGTAAGAGGCTGCAGGGGGAATCACAAAGAACTGATCCCACTTGACTGGGCCAAAAAGAGTACTTGCAGAAGTGGAAGCAGTAGGAGGGCGAGGGCGGGAGGAAGGTGGGGTGGTATGAAGAGTGGTAGTATTGTTGGAAGGAGAACAATAAGGACAATAAGTGTGGGTAAACAGTGAAGAAGACTGTGCAGTAGATGGAGTGGAAGATGTTGGGAGAGAGAGAAGGGGTTTATTTTGAAGGCTGTGTAATGGCCTGGGTGGATGATTTGGAATGGATAGAGTTCACAGCAAACATCTCTCCCGGAGGCCGTTCGTGACTGACACAAAGCCAGCCTTTCATCCTTGCAGCACGGCTCTCACACCTTAGGAAATGGACAGAAGAGGGAGTGAAGAATAACAGAGGGAAAGGCAAGGGGAAGAAGAAAAGACCATGCAAAATTAGTTGAAGCGAGGGTTGAGGTCCAAAGCAGATGTCATCCCCTACCTTGGACCCTAGTCTCCGTCTCCTACCCCCCCCCCCCAAGCAAGGGATTAGGGGGGGGGGTGAAGAGGAGAATGGTTAATGATTAATACAAATGAATGTGCTAGACATCAAAGGTCATATAGAACTATGATAAAGTACTACTGCGGCAAAAAGGGGTAAAAATGAGTTAACGATTAGGATAAGTGGACAGAAGGGGGTAGAGAAGAGAAAGAAAAGGAAAGGGGGAGAAGAAAAGACCCAAGCAAAATCTGTTAAGGCTAGGGCAGAGGTCCAAAGCAGGGCTGATCCCCTACATTGGGCCTCAGTCCCCGTCTATCTATTGACTGATTGAAAATTTTCTGCCACGTCAACATCTAAGATTATTAGCGGCATACTCAAAATATAGAGATAGGGTGGGGCTTGAGGGGGAAAAGCCCACAGGTAAGAAAGTTTTTGCTTCAATAAAATGATGTTTGTAGATTTCCAAAATGGTTAATGGTCAAAACTAATAAATGTGCCAGACATCATAGAGCATTATGATAAAGTGTTGTTACAAAAAGGGTAAAAATGAGTCAACAATTAAAATAAATAAGCGGAATTGGGAGTTTAAGAAGAGAAGGAAAAGGAAAGGAGGAGAAGAGACCATGTAAAATTAGTTGAGGCGAGGGAAGAGGACCAAGGCAGGAGTGATCCTCTACATTGGGCCTCAGTGTCCGCCTACTAGCACCCCCTACTAGCATCCCCCACCCCCACAACATCAATGAACAAGGGTTTGGTATATTTAGAATATTTGCAATATATTAACATTAGAGTTATTTTTATTATCTTTTCTACTTGCTTATCCAGTATTTTTCTAATAAGGGTCTATTTTCACTTTGTTGTATCCGATTTTTAACTAACTTAAAATTTACACACACACTCAAAAAAAGAAAGACTCATTGAACTAGATATCTTTAAAAATCAAATTTTGATGCACTACTTTTACTAAGCTTTCCTTCAGTTTATCCAATTAATTTAAACTTTTCCTGTAGTTTTGATGATACAATTTAAAATGTATAAATTTGTCAAAGCAGTCTGTGGGATCCTCATTCTGAAAAGTATATTCAACAAAGTATCAACCCTTTCAGTAAACACTGAATACAATATGTTCATTCCCTCAATGCAAAAGAAGCAAAGGAAATTCAGCAAATATAGATTTTATAATCTAAAAGGAACGAGGAAGGTTTTACTAAAAGTCACATTTTCCATCCAACCTTTACTTTCCAAACCAGACATATCATTTCGTCATCATCACTTCTACTTGTCCTGGTGACATCCTAACGCATGTCTCTTTCCCTTCTAGCTGCCGTGAATGCTGGTGAGGCTTTTTAAAATTATATTATCTCCTTTTTTTAATCCGTCTGTTATTACACATTTGGAAGGATTTTTAACAGATATGCTATTCACAAAATCATGAATAAATTACCCATACTGACTTTTTCATAAAATAAAAATATGGTCAAGTGTAACTAAATAAATTTGTATGTGGGTTTCTCTCTTTTTCTTCTGAACGTTTTTCTTTTAATTTCCAAAATAATGAGGATTCTTACTCTACATATACATCAATACATCTCCTAAAAACCCTTCAGATGTTTTTTGTTTTTTCACAAGAAAAAATATATATGGATTTCTAATTGCAGCACATCTTTCCCATGGTGACAAGAGTAAATTCCCTTTCACAGAAGTCCCAGTTTCCATTACAAAAAGGGGACCTGTTTATTTTCTTTTTTGTTTAAACTTTGAAACAAACTGTCTCGCACTGACTTTGAACATCAGACCTGACTCCCTCAAGCTTACCAGACTCATCTTACAAGTCTAAATACACTGCTTTAGTCCATTATTTTTTTCATGCTATTTTGCAGGAAGAAAAAAGCCATACGACATCACGTTATCTTCCAAATCTCTTGACATCCAGCCATGTAGAATCATGAATAAACACTGCTCCATTCTTTCCTGAACTAGGATTTTTGAAAATTGATGCTGCAGGCTAATAATCACACAAAATATCTAATTGGGTAATGATATAGATTAACACCTGAAGTTTTTGTGTTGGTTTGTCAACACTGCCAAACTGATATAAAACATTCTTTGCACATAAGACAGCCTTTCAATCCCTAAGCCTGTTTTTCTTGTTTTTTGTTCCCCCTAAATATTGAAATTTGCAAGGACATACCACCACAAAAACACTTCAGATTTTAGGATGTAGGCTACATATGACATGAAATCACACAACGTAATATTCCCAACAAGTTTGTTGTGCATTTTTTTTTTTCTTCTTTTAGAGGTTAGTATGGTCACTTGTTTTTTAAACAATTTTGCTGCTCAAATTATCATATTTGTTCAAACTTGCTTGGGTTAATTAACATTTCAGTATTGATACAACAATCAGTTTCAGGATGAGTTTTGATGGGAGACAAACAGGAGGCAAGGTCATGCCACATTACCTATTATTTTTAAACCAAACACAAAGTTTCCCTTCTTGGCACAGTAAGTCCATGATACTACCTCTTCAGCAATACTGTTAGTAAATTCAAACCTGTCTGTTTATATGTGCATACTCCAAAGCATGGTCATAATTGCTTCCACAAAGAATTTTCATTAAACCTTTTGAAATGCACCTGAAAGCTAACACAGTACTGTACACAATTTCACTTCTTTCTGGGTTTGCTTTTTAAGTTCTACCCTGTTCATAAACAAACTTTTTACTTTTCAGATAATTAATCTCTAAAGCCTTCAAGAATTAATTTTATGTCTGAATAACCCTGTTTGAAATAAATGCTTACATAGCCATCTCCTGCCCTTCTCTCACTAAAATTCACCTATAAATGTTTATGTTTTAAGCATAACATCGAGGAGGGGCCCATTCAATAATTGCAAGAAAAAGTTATTTAGCACTGCCTAATGAGGGAGGCATAATATTCCATAGAGCACTTATAAATCAGGAGTCTAATGTACTTAAAAGCACTTATGTATTATGGTCAATATTCCCCAGTGAAATGAAGGTCTCATGAGTACCATCTGCCCTGAGAGTGTCGCCAACAGTCTGCGCAACACGACCACAATTGTGCCCATTGGAGTGCAACCCAGGCAAACACTTGTCTCAGCAGCACATATGGGAGATCTCTGGACCTACACAGCACTCAGAAATGAAGGCCTGTGACTACAAGTAAACACAAGAGGGAAATGGTGATTCCGTGCCTCATAACTTACTCAGTTATAAGCAGAAAAACATTTCCACATATTTGTAATAATAAATTTATCTCCCTTAGCATACACAGTAAATGATCAATTCTTCTCTGTTAAGGCTCATAACTGATGAGCAGTTAAACACTGAGTATAATGTACACATAATCTATTTGAAACATTTGGCAAAAACTTGCCTTTACTAGACCTACTATTATCATTATTTCCTAATGCTATGATGCAAGTAGCTATTAAATTTTCAATTGCATGTATACAACGTACATTGAAGCAACCCGGTACTGACACTCCAGGACTGAAGGTCGAGCCTGCAGCCAGGGAGGAACCCAGCTCTCTCCCTTTCAGAGCTTGAGGTATCTCAAGTGTGAGACATCCCAAGCACAGCCTCCAGGGGGGTAGTCTGGTCTTCCTCTGACTTTCAGATATGGAGGGTAAAAACTCTGTGACAATTTATATATAAATGTTGACCCAGAAAATGTTACCTCACTCCAATTAACTGTTGGTGGGGTTGTTGTATCGTAAAGAAGCAAATGGTAAAGTGCATGATAGGACTGTGAGAGTTCCATTAGCAAGACATGACACTAAGTTAATATTACACAAACATGGGCCCCTCACTGAAACACAGACATGTTGCAAGAAGATAAATGAACAAAAAGAGTTTTGCTCCCACTTGTAACAGTGGAGTAGAGTTCTACATAAATGAAGGCAATATATTTTTCCCCTTTAAATAAAATTCAATCATTAAACACCATGTTGTTACTCAAAAAATTATCATGGGCATCATAATTGGCAATACAGTAGCCAGAAAACTTGTAAGACCTAATTCTTCACATAGATACATTATCTAATCCTCTCATTTTGATACAGAAGTACATCTTCTCATTATCAATACATCAATATCTCGAGTAAGTCATTTCCCTTTCAGATTAACATCCATCATAGGGGAAGGCAGCAATATGCACAACTAATGGCAAAAGTCTTTACAATTAAAAGCCGATCATATTGTGTTCACCTACAAGTTGATCCATACAATACAAAACTGAAAGAGCATGACAGCATCTTCTAGCATAGGCTGTAAAATTTGAAATCTTAACAATTTGACTTGAAGTGCGCAAAAAGCTACAATTTTTTTTCTTTTCATTTTCCGAATGAGAAACCATGGCACACAAACTTTAAAGAAATCAAAAGTAAACTTTGATGCAGAAGAGTTTCTCTCTGCATTATAGGGTACAAACTCAGCGATACCCTTCCCAGTAGCATCCCTGGCTACATGAGCTTACATGATTAGCTTTAATGCAAATTCTGATAAGAGTGAACTGTTAACTGACAACCTTCAACATCATGTATCAGACGTGTAAATATATGATCTAAATCCCAAATACAACGATAAACATAATACCATTCTTAAGTTCCCCACCATCCTTTTGAACCATACAGTTCATAGCTCCCTGAATTTACCAAACAGCAGTGGAGCATTAGCAAAATATTGTTTGCATTTTGAAGTCATCATATGGGTACTGTTAACATTCCTTGAAATAGCCAAGTTGTCCTTAGAAAATGTTAGAAATTTTCTCCCACTGGGTTAAGCCTCCTCATCAATCAATGCTATATATACACACATATACATATATAATCTTCCTTTTCTTTTTAGGATAAGTGTCATCCTGCAAAATTCCAAATGTGCCACCTTATCAAGGGGGTCTAAATCATTTTATTTTAGTTAAATCTCATTTTAAGGATTGCTTAATTGTTCAACACCAGGCGGTCTGTGGCAATCTCACACCCCAAACTTCAACCACAAACTTGCCAAATACCAACAAGTCTCATTCATAAAGTGTCTCCATCACCATTTTAACAATATAACAGTCATATAAAAATAAAAATTCATCTTCATATATACTTCGTGTCTAACAGCAGTGGAGAGGATTACCTGGCAACTGTTCATGGCATATTTTGGTTGCCAGCTTCTCCAGCTGCCCACCTTGTACTTTCTGGTAGTACATTGGGGATGAAATTAGTGATTATTATCCAAAGATACATATACATCTTTCTATTCAAGGTTGAATCTTCTGCTTACTGGAGAACTTGTGCCACTTCTATGTGTCATCTAGGATATTACAATCACTAACTTCATCACAATAGAACTTTTCTAACATCACAGACAGATCTGACAATTGTCATTCCTAAGTCTCTCAAACTGGCAATTTTTAAGCTTGCTATTGTTTACTGAGGTCATTACAAACTGAAGTTGGTGTCAGTGTAGAGTATCTTATGAGTTTCTCCATCACTGCTGTCCTAAATGAAGGCATGGGATGACATTTCCATAAGCAATGTGGAAGACGACTGCTCTTGCTCAGTTATGTAACAATTTTATATTTATATATAGCTATATAAATATACATATTGCTTTACTATGCAAGTGAGATTTAAATAGACTAAAACCAATATTTGCATGATCTTTTCATCACATAACCTTAATTAGATACCATCTAATACTGTTTCTGACAATTGTAGTCTCATTACTAGTCAATACATGCAATGACAGCAAAAATCCCCAATACAATTAGCTTCTTTTTTTGTTATTTTCCAAAGCAAATTTAGCAGGTCAGAGCAGATGCAATTTCTTGTGTAAATCCCTCAACAATAGCACAGCTTGAGTCACTGCAAGGAAAGCAGTGACCCCTTAGAAATGGTGGTGGTGGTATTGGTGTCTTATTCACTTCAGCAGATGTGGGGGCAGCCGAGATGGTGGTAGTTGTTGGAGCAGTAGTGGTGGCAATGGCAGTGGTGGCGGCACAGGCAGTGGCTGATGCACACATCAGCCAGCCCTAATTGGTTGCTCGCGACGGAGGTGGAAATGCTGGCGGTTGGTGTGGGATCTAAATCTTGGGAAGACGGCCCTTTTCCACATTGTACTTCTGGCTAGCAGTGTTCTCTTGAGGAAAGGTACGAAGTGAACATTTGTAGCTAGTGCTCTACTAATCCTATCAGGTATCAGTATTTGAAATTATTCTTAAGCTAGATGTAAAGCAGAGGGGGGGGGCACTAGCTGCTCTCTGGGAGATGGGGGAGAGACCGCCTGGAATTTCCGATTTGCCACCTCTGTCAGCGAATGCCCACAGTGCCTTACTCCAGAATGGACACATTAACACCGGAGTCCGGGCTCTTGAGGCCACTTGAGGTGTGGCTTTGAGGCGTGTAGGGGGGGTTTGGCGAAAGGCCGTCCCCGTCCGGGCCCACTGGAGATGACTGGCTGCTGTAGCCACCACCGGGCGTGGCCAGGAGCTCCTTCATTCCCACGGTGCGACTGCAAAGGCAAAGGGGAGGTGTTATGGACAGATAAATTGACCAAATTCTACTGTGGTGTGCAATAATAAAAAACAGAGAGAGAGACATGCACACACACGCGCGCACGCACGCACGCACACGCATGCACACGCACATATCCACTCTCTCACACACACACACACACACACACACACACACACACACACACTCACTCTCTCTCTCTGTATTTACCAAGTTCAGTTTTTCATAATCCCAGCCAAAATAACCCTATACTATCAAAAATATAATCAATCTTATGCTATATTTTCATGCATCAGTCTGTCTGTACAATTCTATTTCAATTCACAGACAGCAAAGACTTTAGCTGCTTTGCCATACCATGCAATTTAGTGTCCATGTTACACAGCAAATGATAAAATGAACATAAATTGATAAATGAATAAAATTGATAACTTTTCCTCATTGTTGTTTTCCTCCTTTATTAATCTCTCTTTTCTACAAGCTTATGTACAGTACTTGTAAAATCAATAACAAAAACTTTCATATTTGGTGGAAGCTTACAAAGAAATCTTAATTGTCTCTCCAAGGTATAAATCAGTCAATGTAATTAAAGCAAGCTTGATCATTCTTAAAATCTATTTTAATAATGATGATGCTAGTAAAAATAATTAGCTTTCTAGAATTACTCAAAGCTCTCTCCAATATGCTGCAACAAATATTTTCACTTGGACCGACCCTTCTTACTCCCCCTCTAAAAAAAAAGTATCAAGAGAGAAAAATTGGGCTTGTACAAGATCCATAAACTGTTTCCAAGTGGGAAAAAGAAATTATTTTCTCTTTCAATAACCAAAATGTACTTATATATATATATATATATATATATATATATATATATATATATATATATATATATATGCATTATTTACATAGTAATATTCATTATGATTAA